CCCCTGCTCTAAGTAAATAACCAAAGAATCCCAGTTCATTCTTAGAATCATAGAATTGTAGAGCTGGACCACAAGGTTAATCCAGTCCAACTCTGCAATGCAGGAATCTTTTGCCCAACATGGGGCTCGAACCCGTGACCTTGCAATTAAGAGTCTCATGCTTTACCAACTGAGCTATCCCAGCTCATTCTTAATCCATCTGATGGGATGGTGCCCCTGTCCATAAGGTGGGAGATAAAAGAAGGGATCATCGCAACAACCACTCTGCCCCCAGATGTGTCTAGCATAATGGATGCATCCAGTGTGGTGACTAAAACAGGCAATGGACACTGCTGTGCCTTTTTGCAGCCCTTTCGCATGCCCCAGCACAAAGTTTCAAGATCATTGTAGGAAGGTTGCCCTTGCTGTCAATTCTCTCTCTCTCTGTCTACATCCACAGCCCCAGGATATCAGTCTTGTACATGGAGGACCACGGTGCTAGGACAACGAACACACTCTTCAGTGTCAATTGTTTCTCCATATTTAAAGCATCTCGTCATTTCTGTTGCTTTTAGGGACATCCTGTCCCTTGACTATTCATGAGTGCAGCGGTCATTGCTAATTCATCACTGTCTCAGCCTGCAGGATTCTTCTCAAACTGATTACATTTGTTTATACAGTTCCTTTGATCTCCGGCATATGCTGCCTGTGAACCCCATTCCTTATTGTCAGCACTTTCAATTATTAAGCGTGGCAGAGTGCACACCACCTGAAATAAATATTGCGATTGAGTTCACAAATGAAAAATGATGGGCTCCGAAACAGCTTAATAGCATGCGCCTGACTCGAGTTCTCGTAACGGTGCCCCTGCGTGCTTTTGTACATGCATCCAAATTGATCAGAGCATCCATCAGCACATGTGTGCTTAAATTCATTTTTCTCTTTTAGTGCTGATGACCAAGAAATTCTCTCCACAGGCTTGCTGCAGTTTTCAATTTTGGGGATGGACAGGTCAGTGGTCACCATGAATGGAAAGGGTCTGATTATAATCAGCTGGAGAGGGAGAGGGCAGAAAGCAAATGTTTTGGCTATGTGTCAGCGCAACACACTCTCTGGCAGGACATAGTATGTCTTTGTAGGAAACAATTAGAGGGTTCAAGGGTCTTCTGGTGACACTTTGCCATACTTTGCCTGCGACTTTGATATACATAACTCTCTGTTCCTCCCATACAGAAGCTCAAGACTTGGAATTTTCTGAAAATATCAGCGTCAAAGTTATCTGTATGGACTTCTCCTAATTCTTGTCCTGTTCTTTAACCTTGATGGTAAGAAAGCCCCATGCCCCCCAGTTCTGATAAAACACAAACAGTATTATATGTATTATTATATGTGTTATTATACGTACAATATTATACACATAGTACACACTTATATGCTTCAGGTTCCCTAAAGTAAAAAGCAATTAGATAGATATATATACATCAGTGCATATAATAACTGTGTAAAAATATGTATGCATCAATATACTTATAAAATTATGCTGCAGAAAGCACCATGGAACTTGACTCTTTTGTACATATTATAGTATGGTATACTTGCCCCCCTTCAAACCTATAACAATATAGTTGTACAGAAATTCACATATTACAATATTGCAAGTCTCTAGAGAGCTCTCCAAACCTGCGTATTGCTCCTGAAAGCTCTCACCAATCGGGGGCTGGAGTAGCAGGAAGTGTAAAGGTAAAGGTAAAGGTACCCCTGCCTGTACGGGCCAGTCTTGACAGACTATATGGTTGTGCGCCCATCTCACTTAAGAGGCTGGGGGCCAGCGCTGTCCGGAGACACTTCCGGGTCACGTGGCCAGCGTGACATCACTGCTCTGGCGAGCCAGAGCCGCACACGGAACGCCGTTTACCTTCCCGCTAGTAAGCGGTCCCTATTTATCTACTTGCACCTGGGGGTGCTTTCGAACTGCTAGGTTGGCAGGCGCTGGGACCAAACAACGGGAGCGCACCCCGTCGCGGGGATTCGAACCGCTGACCTTTCAGTCGGCAAGCCCTAGGCGCTGAGGCTTTTACCCACAGCGCCACCCGCGTCCCTAGCAGGAAGTGTATAGCACCCTAATTTGCTGAGCTGCAATGGGAATAGACTTATTTACTACAGACGAAGAACAGGCAGTCTCACCTCCATCAACCCCAACCCATTTTGGGTTGGGGGTCAGGGGAACCATGAGAACCTCAATAAGCTGCTCCAGTGCTGTCCTCCCCAGACATGCTGGCTTAGGCTCATGGGAGCTAAATTCCAAAACACCCAGAGGTCACCAGCCTGGAGAAAGCATGGCCACTTCTTCACCCAGTGAGCAGAAGCATCAGCCAGGTAACGGCGTCAGAATAAGCCCTTCGTTTTTATTTTAAGAAAAGAAGAGGCCTGTTTGCTCTATAAGGGTCCATCAAAATACAAAATAAAAAGTGTGAAGGTTTTCGGCCAAATCTCATTGTGGTTAGAATGTTAGACTAGGACTGGAGAGACCCGGGTTCAAATCCTAGCCATCATCTCACAGGGTTGTTGTGAGGGTGAAAGGGGGGGAGGGAGCAGGATATATAGCTCCTTATGTGAGGACAAGAATTGTTTCATCTTTAGCATCATCATCACCGCCATCATCATCAATGATAGTAATAACAATAGTTTTATTAGATTCCTTACCCACCCTTCACCACAAGGCAGGTTACGGCAATGTAGAAATACAATAATATGATCAGTTTAAACCATTTACAATCAAAGGAACAGGACGGGTTCTGAAAATGAATATCCCCATTGCCAAAGGTCCGGTTACAGAGGTGTGTCTTATATGTGAAAGTTATACAAGGATGGTGGTGAGATGCAGAGAATGCCCTTTCCTTCCAAGGTTGGTGGAATTACCGAAAGGTAATCTTCAGCTGATCTTCACACCCAAGAGGTGTTACAGGGAAGGAGGCAACCCTTCAGATATCTGAAGCCCAAGTCGTTTAGGGCTTTAAACACTAGTGTAAGCACCTTGAATTGCAACCCGTGCATCTGTTTTAAAACGGGAGCTACCGGTATCTGTTTTAAAACAGGAGCTATGTGAGCCCTAAACCCTAGCCAGTAATCTGGTTGCTGCATTTCTGGACCAGTTGAGGCTTCCAAGTCATCTTCAAGGGCAGCTCCATGTTGAGCATGTTGCAGTAATTCAATCTGGAAGTCACCAGAGCATGGAGTACAGTGGTCAAAGTTGGTGAACCAACTGCAGTTGAAAATAGGCACTCCTTTCCATTGAAGCCACCTTCAGCCTCCACAAAGTATTGGAAATATACTCTAAATTAAGTATATATACATGCATATTTTGGTTTTCTGTGGTGCATAATCTGGACATTTTTGGCACGACATACAAGCTGCTCTATTTATGACCGCAAGGTCAGGAAACAGACTTGTGCATTCGTAGGATTCATTCTTTGAATTGTGGCAAGTCCTTCAGTCCTCTCACAAAATATAATGCTATAGGATTGTGCATATTTTCGACATAAAATTGGTTTCCGGTGGAGGACAGTCCTCTGGCAGTTTCAGGATCCCATCCAGCATTTTCAAGTTTGGCAAGTTAGAGAACACACTAGAAGAGAATATGATTTAGGAGTAAATTAATTTCCACCATCCCATGCCCTTGACCTTAACTTCAATTTTGCTCCCATACCCTCCCTCTCCAGTTTGGGCTCTCCATCCCTGAAATTTGGTGTGTGTGTGTTGGTCAACCTCACTTTTGCCACTAGTGGACCCACTAGAAAGACGAAAGGAAACAGTGGTGCCCAGAAATTAAACTCTAAGTGAGCATAGTATGTGAGAGTAGAATGCTTTGACTGACTCCATGGTGCAGAGGTCAAGGTTATGTGCCTTGCCTTAAAACTCCCATGCCTTTGGGTGTATCAGTGAATCTGAGAACTTAACATGCTTCCCAGGAACACACAATTCCTTCTATTACCAGTGTTCAGAAGTGTTTCGGTATGCAAAGCACCACCACTCAGGACAATACGAGGAAAAGGGCCATCGTTCAGTGGCAGAGCATCTGAACTGCACACAGAAGCCCCGCCCCCAGTCAGTGTTTCTCAAATTTGGGTTCCCAGCTGTTGTTGGACTACAATTCCCATCACCCCTAGCTAGCAGGACCAGTGGTCAGGGATGATGGGAGTTGTAGTCCAACAACAGCTTGGGGAGACTCAAGTTTGAGAAACGCTGCCCCAAGTTCAATCCCCAACAACTCCAGATAGAGAAGAGAGAGAGAGAAGAGTTTTGGATTTGATATCCCGCTTTATCACTACCCTAAGGAGTCTCAAAGCAGCTAACATTCTCCTTTCCCTTCCTCCCCCACAACAAACACTCTGTGAGGTGAGTGGGGCTGAGAGACTTCAGAGAAGAGTGACTAGCCCAAGGTCACCCAGCAGCTGCATGTGTAGGAGCGGAGACGCGAACCTGGTTCACCAGATTACGAGTCCACCGCTCTTAACCACTACACCACACCCGGCTCTCACAATATCCCTTATCTGAAATCCTAGACAGTCCATGCCAGTCAATACTGAGCTAGAAGGATCCTCGATCGGACTCTGTGAAAGTCCTATGTTTCCTATCCATGTATGAGAGGGAGGTGTCAGCAGACTCAAAGGAATCCCATGGTTTTCAAAGTACAAAAGGATGGGGGGGGGTAATTCAAGGGTACAACCTTCCTCTTCTCCACAACATACCAGTGAGGACCCAACTTGCCCACTGGTCATAGAGAAGCAAGTAACTGTTAGCAGGGGGGAGCTGGATAAGAAGGGTGGAGAAAGAGTCAGGAATGATGGGAGCTGTCATGCTGCAACATGGCAACATGTGGAGGGCCACAGGTTCCCCACCCCTGGAACAGACTATTGGAGTGGAGAGCAGGGGGTGGCTGACTAAATGAGACACTGGACACGCTGCAACATTTTGTTGCAGACAGACTTGTTACTAAATACACTCCAGTGGCGTGCAATAACTTACAGCTGCCTGTAGTTGTCAAGAAACTCACAGGGGTTCCTCTGGAGTACGAGAGACTCCAGTGGAGTGTGTCTCAGGGCACACAGCCCATGTAGGGTCTCAATGTTGTTCTCATCAAGGGACAGATGTTGAATCGCAGGTAGTTTTGGCAGCTGCTTGAAGGATGTAAAATGATTTCTGCTGAGTTTCAGCTCTTTGCATCTGGAAAGCACATTAAATGTGTGCGATCGGTTATTACATGCAGGGAAAAAGACATTCCAACTTACAACAATAAGGGTTTTTTGGGAGGTTATTATTTTAAGTCCTGAAAATGTAGACAATGATTCTTTTGTAAGAAGCAATTCAATGGACCCCCATACTGACACTATCTTACAAAAGGCACCAGAAAATGTGCTAATTAGTTCTCCAGTGCTGCAAGAACTATGCTCAAAGATCTGTTTGTGAAACGGTCAAGACCTCAGATGAGGACCGTATCAGCTTGGTTTCACATTGCATTTCTCTGACACTCTTCCTGTGTCAGTGAAGGGGCTCATTTGGAAAACAGTTTCTTGACACAATTAGCCAAGATGTCAACAGCCACTTTGCTTCCCCTTTCACAACCTGCGGCAATTAAACCCAGAAGTCTCCAATTAACCAATGTGTGGAAAAACTCCCTTTCTGATAAGACCACACAGAGACTATTTGGTATCGCTGCAAGAGCTACAGTAAATGTCTCCCAGCCTTGATTTGCCTTTTTGCTTTGGAACTTTCCTTTCCCTTCAGGGGGAAAAAAGCTTGCCTTGGTTTTTCCTCCCTCCTTGCAACACAGACAGCATCTTCCACTCTTCACTGCCTTTCACCTGGCTGCCTCTCTCAGGTTGTTTATATAGCACTGGCTACGCTACAGTGCTATGGGACACGGGTGGCGCTGTAGTCACAGAGCCTGCTTGACAATCAGAAGGTTGGTCGTTCGAATCCCCGCAATGGGGTGAGCTCCCATTGCTCGGTCCCTGCTCCTGCCAACCTAGCAGTTCAAAAGCATGTCAAAGTGCAAGTAGATAAATAGGTACCGCTCCAGCAGGAAGGTAAATGGCATTTCCATGCGCTGCTCTGGTTTGCCAGAAGTGGCTTAGTCATGCTAGCCACATGACCCAGAAGATGTACACTGGCTCCCTTGGCCAATAAAGCGAGATGAGCGCCGCAACCTCAGAGTCGTCAGCGACTGGACCTAACGGCCAGGGGTCCCTTTACCCCTTTACCTTATGCTACAGTTGGGTGTGCTACTTTCCGGGATGATGAGATAATGTTCCAGTGAAACAACACTGAGAATAAGACCTGCAGAAGCCTTAGCTTTGCACAATCTCTCAACCATTACCCCCCCTTTTTCATGCAGACTGGCAAACTGTGGTTGCCAGGGTCAGAACTGTCTAGGATCTTCTTTTCTGAACTGGGAAACCCTAGTTTCCAAGCTGAATAAAACTTGGATGAACTAAGGTCGAGTGCAATTTCTAGTGGCCAAAAAACACCTCTCCAGATGGCGCTTGCAACAAATGATGTATAACGTGATCTAATGATTTAAACCCACTATAGTAAATTGCTTGCAATCGTGACTGCGGATGCATGGGATATATATCGTTCTGCTATTAACTTAGTTAATGCTTGGAAAAGTCCCAATAATAATCAAATTACCTTGGCAAGCATATGGCACTTAGATCTGTCAAGGAGTTGTCCACCAGCCAAAGCCTCTCCACTCGGATTAGACGGCGGAGAATCCTTTTGCAGTTTTCTACCTGGTAAAGGTCTCCCAAGTCTTGGTACGAAAGATTTAAACTCTGGTGGGGGGAGGGAATTCAAAGAACACACAAATAGATCCCATTTAGCTGAACAGTCAAGTGAAGATCTTTGCACACTGAATGTTTATGACAGCATCAAGACCAAACTAGACAAGAATGCATCTCAGGTCTTGCAAATAAGCACTCCAGTGGACCAGAATATGGATTTGAGTAATTTGGTGAGGTGGGAGGGTTAATCCCACCATGTTCTTTTCCCAAGAAAAATCTCTTCCAAAACTGTTATTTACTCTGTTGGGAAATGCATATCACAGCTCTGAGGTGGTGTTGGTAGATATTCATGGGGTGAAAATGGTACAGAGGCAAGGGTTAAAATGTTCCCTGTCACAGTTCCAGTATGGATCTCCAGATTCCATAGCTCAATTGCAAATGTTTAAAGGATACAATAAATGTTTAAAGGGAGCAGAGATTACTTTGCACATCTCTGTTTGGCCCTTGGTTTCCATGCAATGCAGAACTCTCCTTACTTCTAAGCAAGATGGCTGAGTTACTGTGAGGCTCACTGAGTTAATTTGGGTTTTGCATATAGGCTCTCTATACCTATAACTGCTAACAAATTAGGGTGACAAATTTGACAAGCTGAATTTTGCTGCCTTCTTTGGCAGAGGTTCAAACTACCTGACAGGGTTGAGAATCCTGTAGTAGTAGTAGTAGAGGAAGAATAAGAATAAGCGATTACTGTAATCTAAAAAGATGTGGCACAAATGGAAATTTGATAGGTAGGAGGATGTCATACATAAGTACAAATTTCTTTCCTCCTAATCAGATTTCCTTTTGTGCCCCATATTTTACAATTATAAATCTAAGGGTAGGGACTGTCTTGTTGTGATCTATAAGCTGCTATGGGAACCTTTTTTGGCAGAAGTGCAGGATACAAATTCTGATTTCATGCTCTTTATTCAGCTCATAGTGGTGAGGAGGAATGAATGAATGTCCCCGCAAAGTATCTGCTTTATATACATTATTTACACAATGGGCTGCACATGATTGGCTAATTCCGGAATTCTACTGTAAGCCAATCAGGTTGTGGATTCACTTCTATCTGGAGCATGATTGGGTAGTTCCTGCCAACCAATCATACTGCTGCATTGTTCTAGGACCAATCAGACTGCTGCATTCTGAATCCTATTGTTCTAGGACCAATCAGACTGCTGCCTTTTGGATCCTATTGTTCTAGGACCAATCAGACTGCTGCAGTTTGGATCCTATTCAACTCAGTACATAACAAAAATATTTTTAAAACTGCACTGACAGTCCTATACTTTTTATCCAGAGTCAGAAACAATAATTTAGGAGTCCAATGTCACCTACTTCCTTGTAAGAGTGTATAGGAATGCAGCCTGAATGAGATATTACTAGCAATGTTTTTTAAAAAATAAAGCCCACAATTTTAAAGAAGTCCTTACCACACAGTTTTCCCAGTTCTCTTGCAGCCTTTGTTCCCATTTCTCATTCCCTGTCAGTTTTTTTCTGGCACACAGAGTGTGATGCTCTCCTCTGAAAAAACGCTCTTCTTCAGAAGGTCCTGTTCAGAAATATAGATATCCACCTCAATATTTTTCAAAAAATAGTTTTTATTAATATTTTATGGGGTTACAAAAGTACACATAGCACCTCTGCTTTCAGTTCATAGAGGCCTGTCTACAGATCAGATATATTCAATGTGAGACACTAATGTTATAGACAGTATAACGCTTTGGCAGAGAAGAGGTGGGAAGGGAGTAGGGCATCTCAATATTATATTCCTGCTCCTATCATTTATATCTTAGCAGAGGGACACAGGTGGCGCTGTGGTCTAAACCACTGAGCCTCTTGGGCTTGCCGATTGAAAGGTCAGCAGTTCGAGTCCACACGAACGGGGTGAGCTCCCATTGCTCTGTCCCAGCTCCTGCCAACCTAGCAGTTCGAAAGCATACCAGCTGCATCAAGAAGGTAAACGGCGTTTCCATTTGGTATGGCACTCATCACAGGGTCCTGTTGTGTGAGAAGTAGTTTAGTCATGCTGGCCACATGACCAGGAAAGCTGTCTGCAGACAAACGCCAGCTCCCTTGGCCTGAAAGCGAGATGAGCACCACCACACCATAGTGAAGTTTGACTGGACTTAAACGTCCAGGGGTCCTTTACCTTTACCTTATATCTTAGCAGAATATTTCAAAGCTTAGAAATATGTAAGAGGGGATATGTGTACATGTATGTGTGATACACACACACACACACACACACACACACTTGTATACAAACACACATATATTTATAGTGCCTTACACCTCAAAAGTTTCAAGGCCGCTTACACAAAACACATACAAATAGCATACAAACTAGGGCTGCCATACGTCCGAATCTTCCCAGACATTACTGAGATTTCAAAGGCGGAATAGACATTGGGAGGAAATTTCAGAAAAGTGGCTCTTTGTCCTGGATCTTTGGATCTTAGGCAAGTCAATCTAAAAATCGCATTTTTAGCTCAACAACTTTTGGGGTGTCCTTTTTGAAATATGGCTCACTAAAAGCAATTGCGTTTCAAAATTTGCACCGCTAGACTAGTAGGAGCCACTATTAGAGCAACCAGCTCACAAAATCAAACCCAGACCAGCAGACAAAACATTAAAGATTTAATCCCTGGAGGTAAAGCCTTGTGCCAAAACTATAATAATTCTCCTGCCAGGTGGACTTCCCTGGGAAGACAACTCCATAGTTAGAGTACATTATATATACTTTGTGTGAGAGAGCCATTAAGGCTAAGTGCCAGGTGTTCAGATTGCATTACTGCACACCAATTCTGGGCTAGCTACACTGGCTTCCTTTTGGGTTCTGGGCCCAATGTAATGGGCCGCATTTGGCCTTTAAGGGAGACGCGGGTGGCACTGTGGTCTAAACCACTGAGCCTTGGGCTTGCCGATCAAAAGGTCGGTGGTTCGAATCCCTGTGAAGGGGTGAGCTCCCGTTGCTCGGTCCCAGCTCCTGCCAACCTAGCTGTTCAAAAGCATACCCAAAAGTGCAAGCAGATTAACAGGTACCGCTCTGGCGGGAAGGTAAACAGCATTGCCGTGTGCTGCTCGGGTGTCGGTGTTCTGTTGTGCCAGAAGCGGCTTAGTCATGCTGGCCACATGACCTGGAAAAACTGGCTGCGAAGCGGACAAACACCAGCTCCCTCGGCCTGTAAAGCGTGATGAGCGCTGCAACCCCAGAGTCGTTCGTGACTGGACTTAACTGTCAGTGGTCCCTTTACCTTTACCTTTGGCCTTTAAAGCTCTAAACCAGGGACAGTGAACAGGATCTGGTCAGTGAGTCCGATGCTGAGCTCCTCCATAGGCCACTTCGGCAGATGGGCAGGGGCTGGCATCACAAATGACATTAGATGACCCTTAGTGAATATTTCCTTTGCTAGCAACCTTTGGAACTATGCTGCGAGGGCCAATCAGTTGGCTGGGCACAGATTGGCTGTGCTGCCAGTTGGTACCTCAGCAGTGTTACTGATCCCACCAAGGCTTGCTTCCACTGCTGATCAGCTGATTGGCACTGACAGCAAGCCTGTCTCGCCAAGGAACAACTAGGAGTGCACTTTAAGACTCTGGTTGCTTCTATGCACACCTGGCACCACAGAATATGTATCTGAAAGGCTGCCTGGATGCATATGAACCTACCCAAGGTTTAAGATCAGTGGCTGAGGGACAAGACCTTTTTGGTCCTTCATCCATAGGGATGGCTCATCCTTACTGGTTATTAAAAAAATTCTATAGACTTATTTTAGTCTGTGTTTGGTTGATGTGCCTGGATAATTTTGTGATTTGCTGATGATTATTTATTAGGATTGGGTTTTTAAAAAAATGATTTGTGTGATTAATACATCCCTATGTAGCTTGAAATTTCCAAACCACCTTGTGAGAGCAATGAAAAGTGGGCTATGCATTCTTTAATAAAAGAAAACAAATAAATGAGAGTTTAAAGTGCTCTGAAAAAGTCTTTATTTCCCATTGCAGACACACGTATTTGTTTTCTCCCACTGTCAGCCTCCGTGCAAACAGGCTCCGTAGGTTTTTGATACAGTAAAAAAAAACACAACTTACAAAACCAAATTCAAGAGGGGATGACAGCACAACCATGCAGTTTCCCATATCTTAAGGATTTTCTCATATAATCTTTCTCATATTTATTGTTTGTCAACAGCAGTGAATAAAATAACTGGTTGGGGATTAGATCTCGGGACAGCTGTATCTGGCAAAACTGATCTCCATCTAGGTCCCAGAAAGACAGCATTGAAATGGAAGTTGGGACGATCATGGATGCCTGCATTGTTACGATAATGTATTTGCCATATTGGATTGCTTTCAAGATTGCTTTGGGGGAGAAAGGGATGATGATGGCTGCCAGGAAAACAAATTGGAATTCTTTCAACTGATTCTCATTGCAAATTACTTCTTATCTCCGATGCCAGGTTTTGATTGCTTTCTTCCTTTCTGTTCCATGATTTCTTCATACTTCCTGATCGCTGGGATAGTAGTATGTATCAGCTGCAGGCCCATACACAGCTAAACTGTGTAGCTCCAATTAAACATGATAATTGGGGCTGCCAACTGATCAATCAGCTACTTTTTAACTAACTAATTAATGGATCAATTAAGGGACCTATGGCATGGTGCCTAGAAAGCCATAAAGGCCATAGGATTTGCAGTTCTTCCTCTCCATGGGTGGAAAGCGAGAGATACAGAGAAGACGATCCACTAGGTCTTCTCACTGCAGGTGTGAAAGCCTCAGTGGCTGTTGGTCCTCTGCTGTCTGTGCTCCTACAGTGGAGGGCAAAAAGGAGCTGCTCTGTGTGTGTGTTGGGGGTGTGTGAGTTGGATTTAGGGAGGCTTGTCCAAATCTCTTGTTCCTCCAGAGTAGAAATATGCCAGTCCTGGGTTGGCATACTCATTTTCTCCTCCACCGGGACCAATGGGGATTAAAATCCATTAAAATCCTCAGCTGGCAGAAAGTGGGGGGAAGGAAACACCCCCCCTCCTGAAGAACCCACATTTTCTAACCTGCCAACACAAGCCTAGCTTTGGATTTGGCAGTTCCACAATCTTCTACCTGCTTTGCATTGTTCTGCCACTTTAAATAAATGTGTTTGCTGCCAAAATCACACGGCATGTGCTTTATTATGGTACCAAGGAAAGAGTAAGGTGATTGCTTCTTATGAAAGCTCCCAACATTCTGTAACATCCTAGCATGGCCCATTTCTTTGTTGTAAGCTGCGTCAAGTTTACTAAGAAGATCCATTAATCAAATACAGCATTTGGCTAATAGCCAGAGCTGATCCCAAATTCACAAAGGTGGAGAGGGAATGTTGGCAGGGGGCAGGGACAACCCAAATGGAGTCATTTTTCCAGGGGTTGTTTTCCCAGGTGGCAATGGCACAGTGGACAAGTGAGACATGATACTCTCTTGATACAGTTTTCTCTGAGCACCCCCTCTGGCACTGCTGAGCCTGTTCTGCACTTTGGTATACTAGAGAACAAAGGGCAATGAAAGAGGCTAGACCAGTGGCTCCCAATTAGGGGTCTGGGGACCCCTGGGGGTCCATGGTTCCATCCTGTGCCTCTCCTCCAACTAAGTTTTTGTCATTTTTGCATGGTAATATCACAAATTCTATGGTCCGTTTTTTAAAGTGTACCTAAAATCCTTTGCTTATTAGGGGCTACCCCACATTTTGTTCAAAGAATTGCTTTGCAGAGGTAACTACCATAGAGTTATCAAAATTTTCAAAAGTAGGGGGTCTGTGGCTTGACTTTTGAAAAAAATAGGGCGCCCTCAGTAATTGGCTAATTGGGAACCACTGGGCTAGATAATCCTTGCCCCTGGCTTCTAAAGCATGCTGAGGGGGTATCATCATCATCATCATCATCATCATCATCATCACTGAATATGTTAAATATATTGTTTGCTCTATTTATATTGTGACTGTCTATGGCTTTAAACAATAAAGTTTAATTCATTAGTGCTGTTATTATTGTTTATGAATCACCTTTTACATGTGTCTCAAACTGATTTACCGATATACCATAAAAACAGAACAGCTAAAAATAGTCTAAAACAGTACAAAAACAACTGAAGACAGAATGGAGACCTAGGGCACAGACATTTCCATCTTGCTGGAAAAGCCAGTCAAAAGAAAAACCAAACCACTTCAAATGTTTCTACAAAGTATGGATTGTGGGTGCCTGTCATATCTGATATTCTGGGGGCTGTGATATCTATTTTTCTAGAAAACGAGGTGCCAGAACTTAGCATGAACGCCTCCCTTGTTCTCTTATAATGGCAGCTGAAAAAAAGCCCTGCTTAGGAGAGGAAGTTGTCCTGGCCATCTTGGAAGAGACAGTGATTCAACCACTATTGAAAAAGCCCACCCAAGATTCATTGGTTTGTGACAGCTTCTGCCTGGTCACAAATGCCCCCTTTGGAGGGGAGGAAGGTGATTGAGAGGGTCACGGCAGGACGGTTGCAAGCCAATTATCTTGACCCACTTTTAATTCAGCTTCCAGCCTGCTTGTGGGACTGAATCGGCCTTGATCACCCTGATGGATGACCTTTTTCAGGAGAAGGAATGGGGATTGAGACCCTGTTGTTACTTGATATCTCAGCAGCTTTTGATACCATAGGCCATGATATCCTTTTGAGCCGACACAGTGAGATGCATGCTGGCGGCTCTGTTTTACGTTGGTTCTGATCCTATCTCTGGGATCACTTTCAGAGAACGTCATTGGACGATTATCTGTCTGCCTCCTGGCAACTGTACTGTGGGATACCATAGGATACCATCTTATCTCCAATGCTATTTAACATCTACTGTGTATGAAGCTGCCGGTCAGTAGGAAATTTGGGGATGATTACACCCAGACCTATTTTTCTATCACTTCTGAACTTGGAGAAGCTGTGCAAGTTGGTGATCTGACACTAAGTAAAAGCGAAGCTAAAGAAGTGCCATGGTCAGATCACTTCCTGGTGCAACTGGACTTCTCCACGACCCTTCCCCTCTGCAGGGAGGTGGGACTGATTCGGATGGTCCACCCCCGCCACTTAATGGATCCAAATGGTTTCCAGAGAGTGGTAGGGGATGCTTTATCCCATGTTGATGGCCTTTCAGCTGATTCCCTGGTGGCCTGCTGGAATGTGGAGTTAACCAGGGCTATTGACTATTTGGCTCTGAAGCGCCCTCTCTGATTGCATGGAGCCCAGACAGCCCCGTGGTTTTCCACGGATCTGAGGGCAATGAAACAATCACTGAGACGGCTAGAGCGTCGGTGGCGGATAACTCATTCTGAAGTTGACCGGACACGGGTTAGAGCTCAATGTTGAGCCTACCAGGTGGCGGCAGCAACGGTGAAGAAGACTTTCTTCACTGCCTCTATTGCATCTGCAGAAAACAGCAGCAGGAGACTCTTTCAGGTGGTTCACAATTTAGCGGACTGCTCCATCGGGGCCCAGTACGGGCCACATGATCTCCTGCAATGATTTTGCAAAGTTTTTTTGCAGATAAAGTCGCTCTGATTCGGGAAGAGGTAGACTCCACTGTGGGAGCAGAGCTGGGGTGGGAGAGTGCTAGAGTCCTGTCTAGTCAAGTTGTGTGGGATCAATTCCAATCTGTTACCTCTGAGGGTGTGGACAGGCTACTTGGACGAATGAAACAAACTACCTTGCCCATCCTGGCTTATAAAAGCTAGCTGGGAATCCCTTCCATTTGGATCCCTTCCAGTTGGGATTCAGGCCTCATCATGGGACTGAGACTGCCTTGGTCGTACTGGTCAACGATCTCCGGCGGGCTAGGGACAAAGGTGAGAGCTGTTTCCTAGTTCTGCTGGATCTCTCAGCAGCTTTTGACACCATCGACCATAACATCCTTCTGGATCATCTAGAGGGGCTGGGATACAGTGATTCTGCTCCATCCTCCTGGGCCGTGTTCAGAAAGTGGTGGTGGTGGGTGAGTGTTCAGACCCCTGGGCTCTCACTTGTGGGGTGCCTCAGGATTCTGCCCTCTTCCCCATACTTTTCAACATCTACGTGCAGCTGCTGGGAGAGATCATCAGGGGGTTTGGATGTTCATCAGTATGCAGATGATACCCAGCTCTACCTCTCTTTGAAATCAGAACCAGTGAAGGCGGTGAAGGTCCTGTGTGAGTTGGAGGCGGTTGGAGGATGGATGGCAGCTAACAGATTCAGGTTGAATCCTGACAAGACAGAAGTACTGTTTTTGGGGGACAGGAGGCCGGCAGGTGTGGAGGACTCTCTGGTTCTGAATGAGGTAACTGTGCCCCTGAAGGACCAGATGTGCAGCCTGGGAGTCATGGGCGGGGGATAAATAACATTATTATTATTATTATTATTATTATTATTATTATTATTATTACAGAATTATTATTATTATTATTATTATTATTATAAGTCCTGGGCCAATAAACCAAGTCTGAATCCTGGCAAGATGGAGGCACTGTGGGTGGGCAGATCCTTACACAGGATAAATGGTAAATTGACCACTTTGGACAAGGTCATACTCCTCCTGAAGAAGCAGATTCATAATCTGAGGGCATTCCTAGATCCATATCCATCACTAGAGGTCCAGGTGACCTCAGTGGCTAGGAATGCCTTTCACCAGCTTCCAGCAACAACCATTTCTGGACCAGGAAAGCCTGACCACTGTCTTCTATGCATTGGCAACCACCAGGTTGGACAACTGCAATGCACTGTGTGTGTGGCTGCCCCTGAGGTTGGTCCAGAAATCGAAGCTAATTCAAACTGCAACAGTTTGATTGCATACTGGGGCAGAATATTGCCATCAAGCTGTGCCACTGCTGAAAGAATTGCTCTTGTTGAAAATACACTGAAAAGGATATACCAAGAGCTCTGGCCACAAGTTTCAATATAAGGAATAATTCCTACTCAAAAGTTGAAAAGAAAAATGTGTGTATTCTGCTAAGAATAACAGTTAGAAGCTAATAGTAAATTTAAACACAGCATGTAAGTGCGATAGTTTTAAGGTAATAGTAAATTTAGATACAACGTTTAAGTACAGAAATAATGTAGTTTCAAATATGCAGTGATATAGTATAAAGGTACTTAAAATACCAGTGCACAACAATTGTTTTATACAAGTCTCAATGGCAGTCAAAAAGAGTCCATATTGTGTAAAATCAGAATAAAGAATGAAGAATCAAATAGGGCCAAAAAGGAGTATCCGGACGCACAGAGAAACGCACAGAGAAACGCAAGAAAACTTGGATTCAATTATCTAAGGTGAGAAAACACTCATCTGATGTCCGTTTTTCACAAACAATTTGACTGCAAATAATAACTCTTGTAAATTCTTATTTCTAGACGCATGTTGAAAAAGAAACATAAAAGAATTAAATGATATAGACTTCCAACAGTTATAGTCCTCAAAAAACCGAGGTATGGAACCAAATATCATGATATGTGTTAATACACTCTAGAATGTATATACTTTATTATATATATGATCTATGATATTGAAGAATCTTTATCTATTTTGACATATTATTTGATATTACCAGCTGAAGAAGGCGTTTACTCCGAAACAGGGCCCTGTCCTGGTCACCACTACTGAGTCGTACATCTGATTCACACTCCGGATACTCCTTTTTGGCCCTATTTGATTCTTCATTCTTTATTCTGATTTTACACAATATGGACTCTTTTTGACTGCCATTGAGACTTGTATAAAACAATTGTTGTGCACTGGTATTTTAAGTACCTTTATACTATATCACTGCATATTTGAAACTACATTATTTCTGTACTTAAACGTATCTAAATTTACTATTACCTTAAAACTATCGCACTTACATGCTGTATTTAAATTTACTATTAGCTTCTAACTGTTATTCTTAGCAGAATACACACATTTTTCTTTTCAACTTTTGAGTAGGAATTATTCCTTATATTGAAACTTGTGGCCAGAGCTCTTGGTATATCCTTTTCAGTGAAAGAATTGCTCTGGCTACGAATTAGCTACCAAGCTAAATTCAAAGTGCTAATACTGGTGTACAAAGCCCTATACAGCTTGGGACCAGGATATCGCATCATTCATATGCCCATCTGATCACCATCTGTAAGAAAGAGCCTGCAGGAGAAATATTTAACAGGAGGAAGTTCCAAAGGTAGGGAGCCCCCTTCCAAAAACATCATCATCATGGCTGACCCACCCTGTGGAACTCCCTTCTGTTACATATCAGACATGCACAGTTTCCATTGGCTTGTCAGTGCTTCTTAAAGATATTTTTTTAATCCCAGTCTCTGTCAGTACTGGGTTTGAAATTGCTTTTTATTTTAAATTGTTGCATTTTTTCTTATTGTTGATGTCCTTACTGTTAAATAGCTATCAGAAGCAAGTCATAAATGGAAACAAACAAACAACAGTGATGCCTACAGATTTTTTTGGACTACAAATCCCATCAGCCTGAGTCAGCAGGTTGGTGAAGGCTCTGAAACACAGAGAGACCTCCAGTTATCTGCTAACCATGAGCTCCCATTGACATGATAGAAACAATCATTCTGGGCTATTAGTCAGTGATCTGCCTAACAGGGATGGTTAGGGAAGCCTTTTATTATATATTGATACAGGTTGGAAGCTGCCCAGAATGGCTGGGGCAATCCAGTTAGATAGGTGGGGTACAAATAATAACTATTATTATTATTATTGTTATTATTATTATTACTATTATTATTAACCATGCAAACAGGCCGATTGCAATGCAAACAAGCCTACTTTTAACATGAAATCCTGCTGACTCAAATTTGGCCTGCAACAGATAATTATCTAAATCTTTTGATTTATCTACTGAGTAGACCAATTAAACCCAGTCAGTTCACTGAAAAGGGTAACCTCCTATGGGAATGCAGAAGTACACCTTCACTGAACTTATAGATCAGTCTGTCTGCACAATCCTACGGCATGTTCGTTGAAGCACACACAAGCTCCAAAGCAAGGCACCTGCCTCGACAATTCATATTTCTGCCATCATTCACACCCCACTATCTCCTAATATCATGAAGGCTACAAACCAGATTCTTTTTCTATACCTTCTCTCACTCGGGGGCAGCGGATTTGGTTCCCTTGAACATCATGCTCTTCTAATTCATGCCAGGTGAGATACTTGAAGGAATCTGATGGAAGCTTGAAAGAAGAGAAGCCAAATTAGGAATATTTCCCCTTCTGCCAGATACCTTTTAACCAGCACAAAAATTTCAGACAGTACTTTAGCTTGTTTCCAAACAGTGGACATTTTCAACGCATTTGAAAGAAAATGGCAAAAGCACCTTAAAAGGATGGCACATTTATTAGGGGTGGGGACTGAAAAATCAGAATGATTTAGGGGTCTCCCACCCTGTATTGAAGAACAATGTCAACAACTGGCTCCATTTGGATCAGGACCCGCACAGAGCATAGGAGCCAAGGTCCCTCTGCCCCTAACATATTTGAGGGGGCTAGGCCTCCCTCAAATAGATCTTCATTGCCATGGAAATGGTGTGTGTGATCAATTTTGCAGGTTGGGGCATACTTGCCCCCCAGTATTTTATTCAAATTGGCACCCCTGTCACAGAGTGCTCTGTTTTGTGTCAATACAACTCTATATTTCTCTAGGTTCATGGGCTTTGCCAGTAGCAAAGCTGTCCAAAACATTGCCTGCAAAGCATGTAAGAGCTCTGGATCATTATTATTATTATTATTATTATTATTATTATTATTATTATTATTATTATTTTGTTAGAGCACAACAGCAGAGGACAGTTTTAAAACTGAAAACTTTAAGTTATTTTTTTTAAAAAAAACTGCTCTGCTTTAGCAACACATAAACCTCAGAGCTCTTCAGAATTCAACAGGAACACCACTAGACAGCTTTGCAATGGAAGTCTTGGTGCCAACTTTTAAAGGCTTATTGGGAGGTCTATAAGCCTGTTTGAGGACTCAAATAACCACCAGAAAGCAAGGCTAGCGAGAAGCCGCAAAGTTTAAAAAAAGTGTAAAAGCAAAAATACATACCACCTGACCACTTCTTAATTATTTTAAGGCAAGGGTGAGAAACCTCTTGTCTGTGGCCCATGAGGGAGCTCAAGTTGGCCCACGAGGCCCTTTCCCTCAAACCATGTCCACACGCCCAGCAGCTGACATACGTAACTTGTGACATCATCTGATGGGTGACTGGACAGGATTAAACCCTGCATAGGCTACACATTCATTTGTTTATTTATTTTTATTTATACCCCGCCCTCCCTGGCCAAGACCGGGCTCAGGGCGGCTAACATCGGGTATTAAAAAAATTGATTAAAATACAACTTAAAAACAAGATTAAAATACTACTTAAAATGCAGCCTCATTTCAGTGGAAGCCCAGATCAAAAACTGTCTGAGGGGGGGGAAATGTCAAGGAAAAGGAAAGAGGGGGAGGGGATCATGCTGGTTCCGAGCCAAAGGCCAGGCAGAACAACTCTGCCTTACAGGCCCTGCGGAAAGAAATCAGATCCTGCAGGGCCCTGGTCTCATGAGACAGAGCGTTCCACCAGGCTGGAGCCAATGTTGAAAAGGCCCTGGCCCTGGTTGAGGCTAATCTGACTTCCTTAGGGCCCGGGACCTCTGGAGTGTTGCTATTTATGGACCTTAAGGTCCTCCGCGGGGCATACCACACGCCTTTTCCTAGCAATGAACAGGACCAAGCAGCTAAACGGAGCTCATCAGCGGATGCAGAGGGTTTAAATCCTGCTCTGTTCAGCAGAATTCCATGCATACTGCATGAAATAACCTGCTAAATCTGGGGGGGGGGGGAGAAAACTTTATTTGAACAGCACCTTGCATGGTGCTTTGAAGTCCTTACTCAGGTGGATCTGAAGAGGCAATCCATCTCTACCCACACCCAAACTGGTCACCCTTACTTCTTCTATTACAATAGACAGTCTCTTGTTTCTGATGGCTAAAACTCAGGGAGAACGTTTGCACTGTCATGCTGCAGAAGGAGATGCTAGTAGTGAGGTTACCATCAACTTGTGCTTCTTTCCACAGAACTCAGAACCAGAATGCTTACTGGAGAGGCAATGCCGGAATCACAGCTGGGCGGGCGAACCCCTCTGCTCCTTGACGATAACACTGGCAAAGGGATTTCTGTATCGCTTAGATCGGAGAAGGGCGATGAATGGTTGGTGCGCAATCTAAGCCAGCTTGCGTTCAGACCTGAGGAGCTTAAGAAGATCACATGGTAAAGTCACAGAGGGGTCTCCTGGTCTGGTATCAGCAATCAGGCCCAGGGGATAGGGGTGGGAAACACAGAGGTACAGCTCACTGCTGCGAGGCTGGTGTGCACAAAGTATAGGAGCAAAACACAGAGTTGAAAATGATATTGGTTCCACAGAAATTGCAGAGGTGGGTCAGAACCACAGTCCACTTACTCCTAGAACTCTGCATCCAAGATGCATTTGGGTTAAAGTCTGGTTCTAACGTAAATGGAGAACCTATGGCACGAACCTTGATAGCACAGGATTCTAAGCGCATTCAGTCAAACATGTTTAGACGTCTCCTTCAGACCCACCTGCACAACATGAGAAGATGAAGGGTGGAATAGATGGGGCCAACATGCATGGGATTCTTGGAAGTGGGGCTCATGTGTGCTTCCCCTCTACCCTGTACTCTCTCATCATGTTGGTAATTCCCTGTTCAGGCATAATGCCTGAACAAGGCAAGGATGCTGCCTGGTATCAGGTGAGGCTCTTTGTCTATCTAGCCCAGCATTGTCAATTCTGATCTGCAGCAACTTCTGAGGTCTCAGTGAGTGGTCCTTTTAACTTCAGGTACTAGGGGTTGAACTGGGAGCCTCCTGCATGCAATCCATGTGCTCTGCCACTGAATCCAGGACCTGGGATTGTTAGGATGGGCCTCTGTAACATCACCTGGCAATGCACAAAGGAAGGGAACTGTTAGATGGCCAGCAAGAAAGCCTCTGAACAAGGCCAGACCCTAACACACCCTGATTTCTATAAAAGCTTCTGGATCAGGCTTGTTCATTGACCAGAACAACTTGCAAACTCTATACTTCCATTTTGACACTTTCCCCTTTTTCCCTGAGATAGCTCAGTCAGCAGAGCATGAGATTTTTAATCTCAGAGTTGTGGGTTCGAGCCCCACATTGAGCAAAAGATTGGACTAGATGGCGCTTCCAACTCTACAATTCTGTGATTCTGTGATTCTCTTCTCCACCATTGACTTTACTGGAGCCGAGTCTGACAGATAGCACTTTATGCATGCACCAGATGAGCTTATACGGTTTGTTATTTTGTTGGGCAGGAGAATTGAAATTGGTTTATTCTTTATTGCATAAATGGTGCAATTTTCAAGGTTGTGATTTCAAGCAAATGAACATCTCTAAAGGCGCAGAGAAGTCTATGGAGGAATACCTTGATAGATATTCATGTTGATCTTTAGTAGCACAGTCGATTCAGCAAACCACACTCCGGTTATTCTACAAGCCCCATGATCTGTCACAAAACATGATTATAACAGCTGCACAAGGGAGCAGAGGAAGACGTGCAACTATAAAACGCTCTGGTAAGAATGGTAATGGAACCTTCCTTCTACACGAGAGTGTAAGGCCAATATAAAGTACTAAGTGGCTTCAAATTGAAGCAGTGTTGTCATTTGAGAATACCCTTGAACAGAATCATAACTTGCTTCGGCAAAACTCACCGTTTTGAAATACCCGATAATAGAGGTTCTGCCAAATATTCCATATGCTCTTTAAAGCAATGCTTCTCAAACTTCCTAAGCTCAGGGGGACCCTTTCCATTCCGATTTGCCTGACATGAACTGTGGCAAAATTTTGGCTTCCTCAAAGGCATGCCATCTGTTTACACAGGAGACAAGCTGGGCATGTGCTAGGCATTGAAAAGAAAGACCTGTGGAGGTGGACAAGCTACGGGCCATGCCTACTGGCTCCACCCCATGGCTTTTATGTACTCAAGCAGGGATCGTGAACCTGTATCCTTCCATTGATGGTCTGTGATGAGTCCTAAAACATCTGAAGAGCTGCAGGTTCTCCATCTCTACATGAATGGCATGGCTTGCACAGTACATACATCTGGATGACTCCAGGTTCCTGTTTACATGGACTTGAACCTTCCATTTCCCAGGGTTCTGGACTGTGTACACTTTTGCTCCATCGTGCACCCCCCCCAACAAAGAAGATGTCCAAAATCACAGAAAAAGGAGAAGATGAGATTTAGGAATCACCCACGGAGAGAGTCTCTACCACAGAAGACAATATCTGAAGCAACTCCCATCAAAGACTTCCATGGAAGGGAAGCATCATGGACCAATTATGCCTTCATCCTCTGTGCCTGAAGAGATAGCTCTCTCCTGCACTGAAGAGGGAAGGGATGCTTCTGTCTCATCCTCTGAACCTCTCTCTGGTACCACACCAAAGTCTTGAGCCTTAAATTTTAACACTTTCCAGTGTTTGGTTGCAAGTGTGAACACAGCATTATAATAGGGCAACGAAACAGCAAGAAAAATGTTAAGAGGTATTACTTATGAAGTAAGACTTCAGGACTCACATTTGTTGTGCGCCACATTGAACTCATTGGAAGAAAGGCCACCTTTTCTATAAATGCCACCTTTTTGGCCCAAGGTCACCCAATGGACTTAGTAGCTGAGTGGGGATTTGAACCCTCGTCTCCCAGGTCTGAAACTCTAATCATTACACCACACTTAGTTCTCTGGAGGCTGGTGGCAGAGAAGACCTAAGGTCCAAAATTCAAGTGACAATAAACTGATGGATCAACAGACCAAGTATACCTACTTGTGAGTCACCATGCCCAAAAAGGTTGGGAACCACCTGCTCTAGACCAGTGTTTCCCAACCGGTGTTCCGCGGCACACTAGTGTGCTGCGAGACGTTGCCTGGTGTGCCGTGGGAGGGAGGCGGGCGAGTCGGGCGGCGAGAGGCGGGGCGGCGGCGGCGAGGATCCGCGTCGAGCCGGGGGCGGCTCCGCGGTGGTGGTGCCGAGGTTTCTCTCTCCATTCTCCCCTCACACACACACACAGGAAATAACACAGGATCAGCTGACAGGACCCGGCCAATGGGGCGGCGGCGGGGCAGCACGCGCAAAAGGGAGGAGCGCGAGACAGCGGACGAGGAGGAGGCTGGCATGTCCGGGCAGCAGCAGCAACAACAGCAGCAGCAACTCCCGGCGACGGCTCCTCAAGCCCCGGGCAACCCTACTCCCTCACCGGCCTCGGCCGCCCTCCTGCTCCACCCGCCGCCGCCTCCCCCGCCGCCGCCGGCCACCTCGGCCCCACCGCCGCCCCCTCCTCTGCCCGCTATCGCCGCCACCACCACAACAGCCGCCGCCTCAGCTGGGCCCATGCCTGCCGGGAGCGGCGGCGGCAACAGCAGCAGCAGCGCCCCGGCGCCCTTCCCTCACGGCGGCGACCCGGCCCTCCCCCCCCACCCCCAAAGCTTGGAGGTTCCCCGGCAAGGGGGAGGGGAAAAAATTGAAACTTACACTTTCGTGCGTCCCTCCCGGCGTGACGCTGCGCGCTGACGTCACGGGGCTGTAATGGTGGTGTGCCTCGAGATTTTTTTCATCAAACAAGTGTGCCTTTGCCCAAAAAAGGTTGGGAAACACTGCTCTAGACTACTGTTGGAGCAAGCTTAGACCTAGGAGCTACTAAGTGCCACTGTGAGCTGTCCAGGGTCCTGATGACCTGCAGCCCATTCTGGATGTTTACTGCACTCAGCCAGGACTCCCCTACAAACCCTGGCTTGGATCAAGCACATGGTTGTTTTACTAACACGTCCTCTGAATCTCACATTTCTTTTGTTTTATACATGGGCTGACTTATACGAGCTTAAATTTAGAGTCTGACAAACATCTGTGTATGTGTTTTGGTGTTTACGGTTGATTTATGAAGCTGGATTGGAAAACAATATTTACGTGCCTCTATTCCCAAGCCGATAAAAATGTTAATTTACTGTGCCATTCCTCTCCGTGTAGCCACATTAGATTGTTGCTGTGCGCAAGGATTTGAAGCTGCTTTGAGTGAACTGTTCTGTGGGGGTGACTTTTATTAGCTTTATACAATACAATCATCTGATGCACTGTCAGTGTCATAAAATATGTCATTATACCATGTCACAAGGCACGTGGAAAATAATTCAGAATAGGAGAGAGGTGGTTGTTAGTGCGGAGTGTTATAGAGTTGAGATGATGATGATGATTCAAATATTATTTCCTACCCTACCCAAAGAAGTCAGGGTGGCATGCATTGCTTCTCTCTTATTTTATCAGCACACCAGGTTTAGCAGAGTGATAGCGACTAGCTGATGGCCACCCAAGGAGCTTCACTGTGAAGTGGAATGAGGCGCTATGATTTTATGGTTCCTTCCACATTTAATGCCACCAAATGGTTACAAAATGGAATAATTCACTATTAACATTACCCAGTTCTGATCAGGTTTCTATGGGGATGTTTTCCAAGATAGAAGTCTGGCAGCAGCAGCAGCAATATTTTCTTAAGAGACTGAGGCCACTTAGGAACAATTTACTGAACTAATAAGCATCTCGACAAAATGCAAAAGAGTTATTGGCTTGGATCTGGATAGGTCTTCTTCTGTGCCATTCCTTTGCAGCTTCTTTTCTGCAGAGTCAACCGCAAAATGGCTTTAACCAAGTCTAGAGGAAAACCATGGATGCTGGTGTTGAGGAACATCAAGAAAGCTCCCAAAGACCCATCGAGTCTAGCACCTTATTCTCATGGTGGCCAACCAGATTTCCATGGGAAGCCAGCCAGCCAGCCAGCCAGCAGGATATGAGTGAAACAACTCTTCCCCACTTTTGATTTCTTGCCACTGGTATTCAGAGGAAAACTTCTTCCAAGAAGGTGCAGACTTTGGTGTGAAAGGATTGTGAGCTCGGTTCATTGCTGGGTGCTGCTAACAAATTCCTATACTCAGAATGTGCTCCGAGGCACCCTTTTCTTTCACTCTAAGCATCTTGCCCTTTTGAAAATGGCTCTGATGGGCAGACCTTGGGATTCTAGTAAAAACCAAGCAGATCCAACAAGCCTCAAGTCTGCCTGCCCCTGATTTAAATTATAGTCATTTGTTAAAATGATTTAGTCTACGAATGCCAGATTGAAAATGCTACAGCAGGGATACCACAGGTTCAGTTGCAGATATTTAACGCTAA